TCATGGAAAAGTTCATTTATTTCAGTAATTCAACTCAAATTGTGAAACTCGTGTATTAAATAAATTCAATGCACACAGACTGAAGTATTTTGGGGTGGTATGGAAGCCCAGGTTTCTTTGACCGTGGCCTTCAGCTCATCTGCATTTTTTTGGTCTCTTGTTTCTCATTTTCCTCTCAGGGGGTTCAGGTCTGGTGAGTTTGCTGGCCAGTCGAGCACACCAACACCATGGTCATTTAACCAACTTTTGGTGCTTTTGGCAGTGTGGGCAGGTGCCAAATCCTGCTGGAAAATGAAATCAGCATCTTCAAAAAGCTGGTCAGCAGAAGGAAGCATGAAGTGCTCCAAAATTTCTTGGTAAACGGGTGCAGTGACGTTGGTTTTCAAAAAACACAATGGACCAACACCAGCAGATGACATTGCACCCCAAATCATCACCGACTATGGAAACTTAACACATTGGTTCAATTGAGTAAGCAAAACAAATATTTATCAAAGGTGTAGCTGGCATAACTCCCTTCAGTATTTGTCTTTTTAAAGAAGCTCAAATTCTCTACAATGTTTTATGCAATCACACACACACACACACACACAACACACAATCTGTTGTCTTCATGTCAAGCAGGACTCTTAAATTGAAATAACATTGTTCCTGGTAGTTTGCCAGTGGCTTCACATCATCATCCAATCCAATCCACTCCAAGCTCTGAGAAAAGGTGCTTTAAGCAAGTGCTGCCAGTAGAGATGCTTCTATTTAAAAATTTCTGTATGATTTTTACAAAAAAAAACAAAAACCTTAATTTACATTTTAGGGCAAACTATCCCTTTAACATTTAATTAATTATGCAGAATTTTTCCAAAAATAAAGTATAGGCTTAAAAATATAACCCCTCTCAATCATCATTTAGAGTCACTGCCCTGTGTCTGTATTACCAATTTTCTTGCTGGTTTTTTTAATCACTTGACCACTTGTCTACTTAATGACTTATTTCCTGTATTTGGCCCAAGTGTTCAAGTGGGCGTGAAAACCAGAGGTGTGTATAGAACTTTTCATTACCTGATGGGACACACTTATAGTGTTATAAAAATGCAAGTGTTTCCAAAGCTTTATTTTGATTTTCAGTACTTTGCATTTTAAAATGAACTTTCACGTGTATGTTCAGTAGTCTCCATAACAGATGATGCAATTTAGTAATTGTGGTGATAAAAAGCAGTTGCAAATGTTGTACAAATCTAAACATACTCATCTTTTTCATTTCCAGAACATGATGCATGATGGGACACCGCTATGAAGCAGTGTGGATTTAGTGTGCATTAAGGGTTTTTATGACTACTTTAGATGGCTAAACTTGCTCATATATTACAGCCAGTCATCTAACTATTAGTGTAGCTGTAGATTCAATTTCATATACACAAAAATTTTATTTATACATGATAAAAAAAATAAAAAAAAGTTTACGAATCATTTGTTTCAAACCATAGACTGTAAAAAAAAAGAAGTCCGCTTCCTTCCATTATAGAAAAGTGAAGCCAAAACTAGAGACCAAGACCAGAGTGTGTTGAGACAAAAACAAGACCAAGACTTTGAGGGGTTGAGACCAAGACCAGACAAGACAAGACTATATTGAGGAAAAAGGTCTTTCTGTGACATAGAAGAATTTTTTTTTTAATTAACCAGAACAAACAAACAAAAAAACAGTATACAAAAATGTACAGTTTAATACTCAAAAACATTCCAGAGTGTACAAGCCATTGATTCATTAACAACGTATCCTCCAAAAATTTGAGAGGCTGTGGGGAGAGGCAGTGAAAGTGTAGATCTCATTTCTTAATTTTTTTTTTGTTGACAGTTTGTGGTGAATATTTAGATCTGGTGACTTTGTTCATACATTCTTTGTTTAGCTTACAGGCAGCATTTAAAAACGTCATGGCCACCTGTTGTGGGAAAATACTCACCCTTATATAAAAGTTGATGTATTTCACATATTTCCAATATTTGCAGGGAACTTACATGTTTAAAAAGTTGTTGTTAAGCATTACCTTATTATGTTTGTTGAAATTTTATGAATTTATGTTTTATATTTTTCATAATCTTCCTGTAAATGTTTTTATTTCAGGGAACATGTCACCCTTTTAGGGGTATAAATCAAGATATTTTTTACATATAGACTCTGTGGTCTATAGACATTAGACTTTGTAGCCTATCTCAGAAAATCAGTTCAATACATAAAACTCTTAGATGATAATTTATTGTCAATCATTTAATCATTAATCACTTAGTTAGCAATATTAAATTTAGTTTTAGTTCAACAATACATGGGTTTTTTTTAGGCATGTGTATATACACACATACATATGTAAATGTATCTATGAAATAAGATACTCAACAAAAATACATATGCAAACTTATGTATAAAAAGTACGAAATATATACAGTTTGCATATGTGTTTTTGTTTAGTATTGTATTTCATACATAAGGTTTTTATGGCTCATATATGCAATTCATTGCAATTCAGTGATTATTGAGAGACAAATAAACCTTCTTCAAAAGCATGTTGTGCCATATTCGACATTTACTTTTTACCATGAAAAAAAAACAACATTTTAACATAAAAAAGATAAATGTATAATCAAGAAAACCCAAGCTGTTTCAGCCCAGTACGATTACAGTATCTTGAATTATTACTAGCAATATATGTTATTTCAAGATTTTACAGCAAAAATGCTTGATATAAAAGCATGAACTATCAATCAGAGAGCAGAAGGCACAAAGTAAATTGTTTACAGAAGGTTTATCAGCAAAGCTTTGATCATGTTGATAATTTATAGGCCTTAGAAATGTGTATATCAAATATGATACAGTAGGCTAATATATTTATAAATCGACATTATAATTATTATTTAACACAATATTAAAACAAATGTTTACTGTAAGTTATGAGAGATTAAAATGTTTAACAAATGTATCTAAAATGTTGTAACCTGCATTGCCAAACAAGCATTCTATTTTCAATCAATTTATACCCCCAAAGGGGTGACATATTCTGGAGGATACAAACATTAATATAAAAAATAAAAGTATTTTTGCAATAAATTTTCAAATGTCTCTTTATGGTCTTGCCCTTTTTTAGGGTTAAACAAAAACGGTATATTCATGAAAAATATGACAAGTCTTCTTTGATTTTATAATGACAATGTTCTCCAAACTGGTGCAGTAGTCCTTAGTCGGTTGAAGAAAATGAATAAAATTTGTCTTGGATCCTGACAATATATAAAAATTATTTAACTTGAATATAATATAAGTTTTCCTTCTAATTAAATTTTCCATTTTCATCCAAAAATCTTTGTCTATACAGTTACAAAACAGATTGATAATAGATTATTTTTCTATTGAACAAATCACAGGAATAATCAAAAATCTAAATTAAATTTCTTTTATCTGGATATATATATATATCACAGTAAGCTTTTATGAGTAGCTGCTTCACCTGTTATAATATTCTTAATATGTTTACAACTATATTTAAGAATATCAATGTCTCCTAGAAACATGCTGTCTTATATAACATATATTGAGTCACTTCCACAAGCTCTTACAAACTGTATAACTTGTTGGGGAATGGCGTCAAATACAATGGCATACTCTTTTGACGTAACTGGAAACCCAAATTTATCCAAGAATTCACTATAAGTTGATAAATTACCATTTAAATGTAAAAGTACACACTTTAAAAAAAAAAGATTTAAAACAATATAATTTTTATATCAACTTGAGAAGATAGATCTATTTTTATATTGAATACATTTATTATTCTGAACAATATATTTATTTGTGGAAAAATTGTGCTTAAACACCAGAATTTAGGCCAATAAAGCTTCTTTGTGAAATTTAGCTAATTTCACAGGCAGTTTATCAATTATAAAATCACATCTCAACACACCCATCATGCTAAACACATATTTTGGAAATGTATACCACATGCTGTCCTTTTCTTTCATGAATTTAATTAACAAAGTAACCTTGAATTAGTTATTTAAAGTTTCAAAACTAAGTACAGATAACCCACCTTTGCTCTTTTGTTTACATACCATTTCCTTCCTCAAATAATGTATATTCCTCCATAAAAAAAATAAAAAAACACATTATATGGCATATCTGAAGCTAAAGACATAAACAGATATTAAAACAATAGTATTGTCGTCAGCCAAATGGCATTTTCTTATACCTTCGTACTCAGCTTTTTTTAAAAATTTTATATGTAGTAGGGTCATAATTTGTGTAATAGAAACAAAAATAAAGACAAAGGGCTACCCTGCTGTATACCTCAATCAATCTCAAATCTACCATTTGTACCCATTGATAATTTAACTGAACTATTGCATCCATTGTAGATAGTTTTAACAGCTATATGGAAGTATTCTCCATGATTGTACATGTTTTGTGAATGTGGTAACAGATATGATGATGTCATTGACAGGGGGCGTGGCTTCTAGCAGTGTTGAGCCCACCCACAAGAAGGGGCCAAGTTAAAATCTTGTTTACAAACAGTAATAGATCATTTTTGCAGAGTGCACCTTTAACTTGCCATTCTTGCTCAATGACTAGCAACGTGTCTGCAACTCTGCATAGCCTCACATGACGTGTGATGCCTGCACGAACAATGTGCGTGGAGGTATGCAAATACATAGGAAGACTGAAAGGTAGGCCACCCTATCATTGCATTCATACTGCAATGATTGGATGAACATTTTAATGACCTGAGTCTTCAACAGAGAATGTTTATTTTATTATTATTTTTTTTTTTTATAATTTAGAAAAATTCCATTATTGCTATCAGGATGTGAAGAGACTTTTTCAACCAACAATTAAAAAAGAAAAGAAAAACACTGCCTATCCTACCTGTAAGGCATGCAAATAAGCACTTCCAGAATCTTCAAATATAAATGCTTTTATTTTTATACAAAGCATTAGCATTCATGCAATAAACTATAAACTAAAATAAAAAGTTTAAATATAAAACCATTGTAAATGTGGAAATACATGCCTGCACAGAGATGAAAATACATAGAAAAATCAATAGCCCTCCATCCTTATTAATAGTTTTTTTGTTTCCCCAGAATTAGTTTTTGGTAAGATCCAAAGGGGGAAAAAAAGTTCAAGAAGCATTTTTTGCAGGGTTTACAGACAATATCTCACATTTAAAGTTTTACTTTGACAGCTGACAGTTGTAAAAATTACAGTAAATTACATTAAAAAAGTTATCAACCATGTTAAATTTAGTATTTCCTCAACCCTAAATGCCCTTCTTCTTGGATGAGAATTCATTAGCACCTAAAGACAGATTTTGAACCATCTTTTTGGACCACCTAATCTACCCTAAACATACGTTTGTCTATGTTTGTACTGTAATGTTGTATGCAACAGGTCCTTTCAGAGTGAAGCCCAGGTAAAAAGTGACATTCTCATTGTTGTGGGGTACTGAGGATGTCTTCAGAGCTGGGATATAAAATTTCATTCCTTTGGGACCCTCCAGAAATACCTTCTCATCTTCCATCCAGCCTGTGACACATTTCAGCAATTTAGAAATGTCTGGCATTTTCCATACTTCTCCACTGAACCATTTCAGCCGTTTTTCTGAAACTGAGAACATTTTTGTGATTGTTTCAAACTTACTCTTGTGGACAAATTTTTCAAAACCAGTCCCATTGCTCAGGAAGAAATGAGTGTAGATCCTCTTTTTCCTTGGAGGGATGTCTTTCAATTTCTTGTCATAGAGTCTCTGGAGGTGTTCAATAGCAGAGAGCACAGTCTCATACTTGTGTTCTTTCTCTGCTTCTGTGTCATGTTCTTCTGGCCAGAAAAGTAAGACGAGCAAGAAAAGAGTACTTGGTAAGCATCTCTGTTTCTCTCTAGGAAATTGGTCACTCAGACTTTGTAGATCCTGAAATGCAACCAGCTTGGGAGACTGAGTTGAGAGACAACTTAAAGCAAAGTGTGACGCTATGTAGTTGACAAGGTCCGCTTGTGGCATTTGCGCCCCCATCGGATTGCTTGGGTAAAGTGAAATAATTTGCTCCAGAACCATGACAGGACTTTCTGGTTTGTTAAGACCACAACAATCTTTCTGGTTTGTTAGAAGGGAAAAAATGGTTGTGATGTTTCCCCCACCGTGATGATAAATCATCATGCGTTTCATGACAGGAGTAAACTTCCCTTCGTTTTGATCTTTACTTCGAGAAACACCACTAAAGTATTTACCATAAGCAGAAGACTTATTCACCAGCCAGTGCATGGGGTACTTTGTGGTCCTCTCAACAGTCTCAGATGTCTTCTCCTCATCGGTGTTCAGGTCAGTCTGGAAGTAACTCAAGTCTTCTGAAATCCATTCTAGCGCCTCCAGTATAATTTTTTGGATGTTTTTCAGCTTCCCATGAAAAATTTCCCATGGTATTTCTACCTCGGCAGGCATATAATCTGTGAGGAGGTATTTTATGCATCGGGAATGATTTCTTCCTGAGAACGCATCAAGAGAGGAAATCAGCTTTAGCAATTCGCATCCTACTTCTACTACTCCAAAAAAGCCAGCATTGTTAATGGTCTCATTGTCTTCAACTGCTGCTTTCTCACATTCCTGAAAACATTCAATAGCCTTTAGTGCTGTTTCCAAAGCATCTACTACATTTTCAGGTGTTTTTTCAGTTTGCTTCATGGCTTTAAATTTTGCTGTGAACCATTGCCTGTACACCTGACCTTTGGTATCAAGAAAGTAAGAATTGTTTGGCCTTTTCGCAACAGCAGTCTTTGCCCACTGTTCTGCTTCTTCAAATCTGTCATGTTTGTAATTGAGTCGAGCCAGCTGTTGAGCAAAAAATGCATCCTCATGAAAACGCTTGTAAGCCGCCTTGAGAAGCTCAATAGCTTTATCTGGACACTCTTTCTCTCTCACATGCTCAATTAGGGGAGAGAAGAAGGTGTCCATTTTATCACCTTTACTGATCCTGCGGCGTGTCATGAACAGATCTCGCAAGAACTTCATGTACTGATCTTTACCAAACCTGTGCTCAAAGAGCACATCGTTGTTGAGAAGATCCAAAGCGAGATCACTTTGTTGTTGCTTGTCACCCAGAAGTTGATGGAGTAATTCCTTTGCAATCAGCGGATGAATGATTCTGATCAACTTAATGTAGGTTTTTTCATCCCTCAAGTGTATTAAGACCAATCTAGCTTGCTCACTCAGAGAAGTCTCAAAGGCATGTTGTCTAAATCTATCCAAATGAATGGAAAGACCCAGGAGAGCTTCGCAATGTGACTGAGAGATGAATGAGTTCTGCACGTAAGTGTTGAGCAATGCCACATACAGAACAAGCTTAGTAACAACAGACTTGATATCAATGCCTTGCAGTAAATGCTTGACAAACTGCTTCACATATTCAATAATTTTGTGGCTCTCAAATTCCTCACTCATCAGGACAAATGTTAGAATGAATTCTGGCTTGAACTGTTTTTCAAGGCTTCGTCGTTTTTTGGAAAACTGCTTTTTTTCTGTCTCTGAAAGCTTATGAGTAATAGAAACATTGTGTTGAGGTGATTCCTTGCACATTTTTTCTGGATTGTGAGATCTCCTACAACTTAGCAGGATGAAGCAGAGAGTTCCACGTGCTATTTTCTTGGTATTGACGGCCACTTCCAATTCATACTTGACATCTTCTAAATACTCTTGATCACAGTCTTCAAACAGCAGAAGTACAGGGAGGCATTTTTGGGGATCTTTTTCTTCATATTCTCGAAGCCAAATGGCATCTTCTGAAACAACTGATGCTGAGTATGAAGGTTTTACAACTGCACAACTTAGATCTCTTCGGTTATTCCACAGTACCTGCCTTGCCACTGTACTACCACCACTGCCCGGATGATGGTACATGTTGATGCAGCTGATGGGTGCCCGGTCCAAACTCCAACATAGACAGTCTTTCACCAGACTGTTGACTTCATTGTAAGCATCTCTTTGAATAACCTCTCCAACTATTTTTTGATCCACAAGCCAGAGATTCATCCAAGTTACTTTTCCTCCATGGTAAAACTGCTGCTCAATATTCTCTTTTTCAGATTCAATGACATCAGGACTTGTTTCTTCGCAGTGGTTTAGACTCAAAATCTCCAAAGAACATCTCATTTCCTCCTCTCGAGTATCAAGGAAACACTCTCCTTTTACATGGATCGGTAATCGTTTCATTGTCCGTGTAGTGGTAACAACAAAAAATCAAATCTTTGCAGATCCTTCTCCTGAAGTCAGTTGGTAACCAGTATGTGCCATTTTTCCTTGTCCAGTATTTTCTTTCCACCCGTTATGAGCATGATGAGCTTTTTTCCCAGGTTCTGGCACAGATCTGGTGCTGAGAAATTATTCCTTCTCTCTGCCTCTTCTCTCTGAGCATCCCTAAAACTGATGTGTTGGTAGAAGTCACTGAGGTCAGCCACTGGTTCGGTTTTAGAACCCACTCTGCGAAAATAAGTGTTCTTCTCAAGCTGAACTTTGTTTGCCTTCTCATTGAAATTTGGCAAGCTAACAGAGAACATCCTATTCTTGACTATGCTAACTGCTGGCTTAATATCAACCTCCACAACGTAGAGTTCTTCGTTGCTGTTTGAACAGACTACTTGAACAAACTGAGGTTCACCAATACATAATCGTACAAGTTCCCTATCAGAGCTAGAGAAACTCCTCTCTATGTAATCTAATGCATCACAGTATACATCTTTTTCCTTAACAGGAATACCAGTGATTTCACCATGTACGTAACCAGTGTCACCTCTACTGTCCATGACACCAAAATGTATTGTGCCATTTGTACGAACATTCATACAACCTGTAGCAAATTTCAGCACTTCCTTTGCAAACTTGGCCTGTAGTCTTTGGCTGTTCAGTGTTGCAGCAATGGCAAATGACTTATACTCATGACATGGACAAATAAAATCAACAACCCCTGATTCTGGTAAGAGTACACTGTTTTTGACATATGTAAAATCAACACCTTTCATATCAAAAGGTCGTAGTTTTGAATCTCTCTTTGTTGTTACCATAGGCACAAAATCTTCTTTATGCTCTTCCTTGATGTCGGCTGTTGTGTCAAGACTTTTAATTGCACTTGCTCCATGGTCATTTTTTCCAGAAGTTTGTTTGTGTAAATGTTGGCTCCTGGCTTTTTGTGAATTTACTAACTCGTCTCTTTTTTTGATTATCAAAAGCGCAGGCCCAGATTTCAGTCCAATCTTTTTTTCCAGATATTCTTCTGAGAGTTCACAAAGGATCCGGCCATCTACTTCCTCTTCATGAAGTTTTTTGATGTTTGTTTCTTTAACTCCTATTGACCTTAACCAATTGCTCACCATAGACTCAGTCCATGTCTCCAGTGGAGGATCCTCTGGCTTTTCTGCAAACCAAAAATAGTTTAAAGTGAGATAAGTTTATTTAAACAACTTTAAAACAATGACTGTACTGAAAAACAACTTTATACTTGCCCATTGTTTAATGGCTTCTAGTGATAATTCACAGTACAAACTCAAACATCATAACATTGCGAACCTTGAAAAACAGAAATTACACTGTTATAGCAGAGACATTTTGAAGCCATGAACAATACATTTATCTGCATTTTGTCCAGCAAACATTACATTACATAAATAAATACATTACATTAACATTACATTAAATAAATGTTCAACACAGGGTGTAAACACAGAAAGTTGCTTTCATTTAACTGTTTATTGCTAATGCATCACATCTGCAAAGCAACAGGACTATACAGTATAAATTACTGGCTTACATATTTTACATATAACTCTAACAAGAACTTATATGTTAATCTTAAATATTTCATCATGTTAAAAGTATGTGGGAAACACAAATGGGGGCATAAATAAAATGCCCAATATAGTTTATTTTTATGGATGGGTTTAGGCCTGGGTGATAAAACGGTATCGATATTTAACAACGGTACACCATCATCGATAACGATTAGGGATGTAACGATAACCGCGAGCCGGTTGAAAATCGATTCAAATATGTGACGATTCAAATCGGTTGAGATGCTAAACAAATAGCGATTCAATTAGGGGTAGGAGTTTATATGAATGTATATCTGAGGGGAACTTACTGTCTTTAGAAAAGTTTAGATGGTATTTTTTCTTTTCATCTTGC